AAGACGCTCAGCATTTTTCCCTCTAAACGGTCCTCGACCTCATTTCTTGGTGGTAGAAGCTGCTACGCAAACATTAATAATAAATGTTGGCCCACCATATTAAGAAAAATATGTTTATAAAGTAAAATATGCATCAAACCTGTACTACTACCCTCGGTGCCTGCAACAGGCTGTGACGTAGGTGCATCAGATGATATAACCCTAACATGTGTACTCGAGGATGCACCCTTAGTAGGTGTCTCAAAGGATGCAACCTTACTAACTATTGTGGTGGCTCAGCAACCAAGTCTCATATATATAAAACACCTAACATATAGAAATATATAAATTATATTGACAATATCCAAGTATACCAATTATATAAGTCATAATTTATTAATTACCATGAAAATATCTTAATAATTCATCTACATATCTGACTCTTCATCAAAATCAAAATGGGAATGCACATTATCATCTTCTTCTGAATCAACATACTCCACTTGTGTTTCATCATTGTCATCACATATGAAATTATCAATGTTATTGTCATCTCTGCTTCCCCACTGGACAATCCGATCTCGAGGAATAATTTCTGAAAATCAGTCATATGAAGTTGTCCTATTTCGTTATCTTAGACCACTACCAGAGCAACCTCTGTTGATTCATCCTGTTGGAATGCGTCACTTGGAACATACGATCCATTTTCACTAACTTTTACATCTTCCAACTCAGGAATATCTCATATTCCTCGATGATGTATGTGTTGCACAACTTGCCAATCCCTATTCAATTTTGTATCATTCACATAAAATCTTGTTTCACCTGAATAGGCAAGACAAAAGGGTCATTTTGATACCATTTGCTTTTAACATTAATACTTGTAAAATGAGCATCAGTCTGAACTGTTTTCACACTACCAAGGTTGAACCATTCACATTAGAACAAAAAAATATTATGTCCAAATATGTAACTCATCTTCCACACCTTATTTAAGTATCCGTAAAAGTTAATTTTTTTGTTATTATATCCTTCTTTTACAACTACCCCATTGTTTTGGCTTTTTTGACGATTGTCACGCACTTTAGTGTGGAACCGGACACTATTGCATATTGCCCTAGAGTACAATTTTATTGTTACATCAGGACCGTTTGTTTGTGACCACAATTCATCAGTTGCTTCATGTGACCCTTCACCACGTTATTGATTCATCTACACACATGAATATGAAAATTTATATGGTTTTACAAACTAATGCACATAATGCTTATAATCTAAATTTTTATAGCTTACACGATTTGCAAACCACTTGGAAAATTTTGCTTGGTGGCGACAAGTGATGTCACCATTTCTTTCCAACTCTAATATATTTTTGTGTTCCCTATGTATAAAACCATAAATTTGACATATAAAAAATTTTAAAAAATTAAAAAGTACAATAAGAATGCTCACAAATATGTATATTTAGAGTTACACATACTCTAGATACAGATCCAATTAGAGACTATTATGTAGGACAAACCAATGAGTCATCTATTGTTCATGTTGAGAGACCTTATTTGCTCTTGTAATTCGCCCAAAAGTACAAACATTTTGGGTGAACACAGCTAACTCACGCACATTTTCAACTCGATCTGCAATTCGTTCCTCGCGATTAAAAACTGTTTTGATACCAGTAAGATACATCGAGCAAAAGGTAAGACATTCTTTGACAATATAAGCCTCTGCAATTGAACCTTCCAGACGAGCTCGATTACGAACATATCTTTTTAAAGTTCCGATATACCTTCAGTAAATCACAAAACATATAAGGAGATAATAACAAAACCAAATGTATAACTAATAACAATTTAAAATATTACCTTTCCACTGGGTACATCCACCAATACTACACTGGTCCAGCAATCTTGGCTTCCCTTGGCAAGTGAACTGCTAAATGAACCATAACATCAAAGAATGCTAGAACAAATATCTTTTCTAACTTACAAAGAATAAGTGTTATGTTATCTTGTAATGCATCCAAGTCTTTTACCATCAATGTCTTTGCACAGAGTTGTTGAAAAAATTTCTTAGCTCAAATAAAGTGGTACAAATTTCCTTGTGCAAGTAACCACAAATTTCAAATGGAATAAGTCGTTGCAGAAGAACATGACAATCATGGCTTTTCAGGCCGAATACCTTACCATCCTTCATGCTCACAGACCTCGATATATTTGTTGTATATCCATCTGGATACTTAACTAATTTCAAAAATTCACAGAACCCTTGTCTTTCTTTTGGAGACAAAGTGTACCACGCAACTGGTTTTACATATGACTCTCCATTCTTTTGGAGGTACAATTCTTTTATGATATTTAGGTCCTCCAAATCCAGACGAGTTTTATCTATTTCCTTATTCTTACTATCAATACTCAACAACGTGTCAAGCAAACTATCACATATATTCTTCTCTATATGCATGACATCAAGGTTGTGTTGAATCTTAAGCACATGCCAATATGGTAACTCAAAAAAAATGCTCTTCTTTGTCCAATTAAGTTCCTCAGATGACCGTTTTCTTTTTTGATTGTTTGGATGCTTCTTGAATTGCACATTTGGTAAACACTCCATTGGATCTAAAATCTCTTGCCCTGATAATTCACAAGGTTTTGATTTTTTCTCAATCTTACCATTAAATAACTTACTTTATCACCAGTTGTGATCTTGCAGCAAGTAACACCAATGGCTTGTGTAGCTAATTTTGCTTATTAATGGCTATGATAATGCATCGAAATTATAAATGGGGCATGCCTTTTAACCTTTTGTACTCCATCCAGATAGGTTACCATAAGCAAAAAAATTATTTATGGTCTACATAATAGCTGCACGCATTTGAAATGTATGATTGCTACATGCATCAAAAGTTACAACACCTTCCCACAATTCTTTCAACTCATCAATTAACGGGCGCAAGTATACGTCAATCTCCTTCCCGGGTGCCTGTGGTCTTGGAATAAGCAATGACATCATGAAGAATGGATCACTCATACATTTCCAGGGAGGCAAGTTGTAAGGCATCAAGATTACAGGCCACATACTATAAGAGTTGCTCATGTTGGCAAAAGGGTTAAAACCATCAATGGCCAATCCAAGCCTAACATTACGAGCGTTCCGAGCGAAATCAGGATATTGCTTATCAAAGTCTTTCCATTCTTCAAAATCACCAGGATGCCTTGAAAAATTCTCATCATCTACTCGTTTCTCTTGGTGTCATCTCATATTTATAATCGTCTTCCTCGACATAAAAAATCTCTGTAACCTTGGTTTCAAGGGAAAATATCGCAAAATCTTATGAGGTATCTTCTTACCCTTACCATCATTGAATTGATATCTTGACTCCCCACATACTGTACACTTATCCAATTTTTTATTCTCCTTCTAAAAAAGCATACAATCGTACCTATATGCATGAATGGACTCGTATCCCAATCCCAAAGCACATAAGAATTTTTTAACATCGTAGAGAGACGTTGCAAGAATATGACCTTTAGGTAAAAAGTCTGCCAATAGCTCTAACATCAATGTTAATGACTTATTGCTCCACGTGCTCAATACCTTCAAATGAAACAACTTAACCAAGAATGACAAAAGTGTATATTTTTTGCAACTAGGATACAAAACACGTTGAGCATCCTTCAATAATTTTTCAAAATTTTGAACTTCTTTACTATCAACACCCTCACATGTTTCTCCAACATGAACACCCCCTAAATCATTATCTATGAACATTCCCCTACCAACATCTTCCAACATTTTGAGTATTTTGTCTCGATCATCATCTTCACTGTCGGTCATATCATCCTCGACACTATCAGCATCATCATCTTCAAAGAATTGGGTGACATTCATAGGAACGGGTTCCCCATGGTGTACCCACGTCGTGTAAGAGGTCATGATCTCTTTCACGTATAAATAATTTTTCACAGTCACATCATCATGTCATTCTGCATTCATGTAATTTCTACATGGACATCGAATTTTTTCATCTCGACTCGAACGTTTCATGGCAAAATTGACAAAATATTTGACCCCATCAATGTATTTCGAATCCAACCTATGCCTAATCGTCATCCAACTCTTGTCCATAATTGATAGCCTACAAAATCACATATTTATCAGTATCATGTATCAAACATCATGCAAACTATGTTGTTGACTTCTTCCTATTTTGGTAGGTGATCCAATCTCATTCAGGAATGCACATTCGATATCATAGGAAACATCTCTTACCGCTTCGTACATCTCTAACTGAAATTCGGCAGCATCTCCCTAGAGTTCTCCAAGTACACGACATAACTAGGTGTCGCTGCTACACCCATCAAGTATGTACACAGAGAACAATGGGATCTGCCACACAGAATATCCAAGAGATGTAACAAGTTAAGCGTTGATATATTAACTATAATATAGACTTGTGCATTCTCAAACTGTCTGAAATTGGACAATTCAAAAAATCTCCACCGGCAAAGAATACTCTATGTCCGATGTGGATTCTTGAACAGGTACTAAGGTTTCATGCAGGCATGCATAGAATTGAAAAATTAATTTATATTAAGGTTTCAATAAATCACTGAAATGTATAACTCGCTCATTCCCAGAAATAAAATGAAGCATCAAAAAAACTAGACATATATGATAATACTACTGAAATAAGTCATTGACTAGTAGATGTAGTCTGTGTATTTAGAATGAGGAAATGCAAAAATTTATTGTTTGTTACTTGTTCTTTTGTTGAAGTAGTATGGAGGAGGGTGTCTGCTTTTATGGGTTTTGGAATAGTTTCAAGGGAGTCTCCAATGTGTAGATGTTTGAGACTAATGAAAGGTTGTAAAACTCCAACTGTGAGTCATGCTTTGGTGAGGGGAGTCTCTATGTTGATTTTTTGGGATATTTGGAAGGAAAGGTGCAGAAGGAAGTTTGAGGGCTTAGAATTGGATTCTTATGCTATTTTTGCACAAGTGGTTAGTGCATTGAGATTGCAGGTTTATATGATCAAGCTTGGTAGGATAGATGATCTCAAGGGTAAGGAATTACTTTAGGACTTGAAGCTTGAATGCAAGGCTTTGCTGGATGGCTTCAATCTAATTATGCAGCATGGTTTGGAGGGGCATCATATTTTGATTGAATCTGATTCTCAGGTTTTAGTTCAAATGGTATTTGGCAAGGTAGTGGTTCCTTTGAGACTACAAAGCATTATGGAGCAGATTTGGAATCTGCTTGGCAGAATGCAGTATCAGTAGGAGGACAAGACTTAGCCAAAGAGAGTTCAAAACTGCATGGGAACTGGAAAGATAATATGGCTTTATCAAAAAAATCTGATAAGATATGGTGGCTACAGTTATGGGTTTTGAGGTGATACTTGTTGAGTGTCCTATGTGCAGGTTTTTTAGATTAAGCAGACAGTTCAAATCTAATTATACAGAATGGATTGCTTAAGTCTGATTGCAGGAGCATTAGATTCTAATTTAATCTGATTCTCAAACTTTGGTACAGATGGTGTTGGGCAAGGCAGAAGTTCCATGGAGATTGAGGGGTATTTTGGAGAAGATTGGAGGTTTGTTTGATAGATTAAGGATGTAGATCAAGCATGTTTATAGAGAGGTGAATAGGGTTGCTGACTACTTAGCATCTTTTGCATTGCAGACTGGGAGTTCTTCTTTTTTCTTTACTAGTGGTGTCTTGCCACCTGTTGGAGGGATGTTACTGCACTGAGACCATAGCATACTGCCAAGTGCCAGGATGAGAAAGGTTGTTATTAAGGTACATTGCCTTTGTAATGACCTTTTGTTACTATCTGTGGAGCACTGCTAGTAGCAGGATGTATGTTTTAGCAGGATCAGTTCAGGAGGCAAGAAGCATAGATCAGGCAGTTTGTGATCTGTGGTCAGAGAGCAAATGAATAATTCAAGAAATTTGATCATATCGCAATCCACAAGTAAATACACATCTCAAACGGGTTTTCAACATAACAAAACCCAAATCAAACTTGAACTTCAATTGCACCAAAACCCATTTCATTTTCACTATATTCCAAGAAACAAGTGTTAAAACAAACAAAGATAAAAACAAATTCTGCACATAAAAGCCCCAAACCATATATATAGAAGTGGGTCAAAACCAAAGGAACTCAAAGGAAAATTTTTTATGTTGAAAATCCAGAAAGTCCACTACCTTAAATTTTTTTCTACATCCAACAACAACAAAGCTTCCAATTTTTCGATCAAGCAAACACATGAAAAACCCTCATTCCATTGATCAAAGAATCTACATCATCTAATTGCAAAATAAAAAACCCAAATTGAGAGAGAGAGAGGAATTGGACAATGTAACCAAACAAAGGAATTGGACATAGAAAAAGGGGGAGAGAGAGAGAGAGAGGGAAACTCACTAGAGTCCTGGACTGGAGTCGATTGCCTACTGCTCGCTGGATCGCTGCTGCACTAGATTAGATTCGCTGCAGCTCGCTGGACTGCACTCTGGATCGGTAGTCGCTAGACTCGCTACTGATCGATGTCTGGGTATTCTTCATCACTGATCGCAATAAATATTAATGATCTTAGAGCATTTTCAACAATGCTATCTAAAATAACTACTTAAAATATATTTAAATATTGTATTATCTACTTTAACTAACCACTTTTTCAAATTTCCTATAACGCTATCTATTTTATTTAACCACTTCAACTAACTTTCAATAATAAAATATAAAATATCGTGTAGTATGCTATGCCTATTGTAAGTAACAATGCAAGAACAAAAAAGAAGCACACAAAAGTGACAATTGCTACGCAAAACCCAAATCAACAGTGACTTGTTTCAATTTTATAACCAAAACCAAATCCAAATCTATAAACAAATGAAATTGGTTTCCAATCCACCAAAATCATTATCCCAAACTTTGAATTCGTCTAACACCTCTGGCCCAAACATAGATATCAATCAATTTCCAGTAACGCAATGAATTGCACAAGCAATGCCAAACGTTTCAAGCTTCTATTTAAATCCACCCAAAACTCACCAGGCACCTGTCCAAACTCAAAGTTTGCTCAAAACTCGATCATGAAACACTAGTAGAACAAAACCCAGATGACAGAACAGGTTTTTGCAAAAAAATTCCAGACCATAAAACACATTTTCAACAAAAACCCACATACCCAACAGATCAAGAAACGGTACCAAAAAACTAATTCCTCTTCAGATAACAAAAATGCGGAGCAAACAATAAAAAAACTGTCAAACATTAAAGTGAGTAGAATTTAACAAATCCACAAACAAAAGTATAAGACAAAATCCACAACAAACATACCAACCCATGAAAATAAATTACCCAAAAAACAAACCAATAATCTGTTTTTGTGCTAAAAAAATCAGAAAAATCAAAGATCAAATTGGTATCTAAGCTTCGGCTTGATCTCTGAGTTGAATCAAAGATCAAAAACCAAGGATTGCTGGAGGTTTCTAGGTTGGGGAGGGGCTTTCGGGTGGGGATGTTTTCTGGGTTGGGGAGGGGCGAAGGAGGTTTCTAGGTTGTTGGCGATGGCGGTGGCCTGGCGTTGAGGACTGGTATGGCTTGTGGCTTCGACGACTAGTGTGGCTGGTTCTTCGACGACTGGTAGAGAGAGGCAAGTTCTTCGATGACTGGTAGAGAGAGGCAGGTTCTTCAAGTTCAATCGATGAAGAGGCAGGGAGAGGTAGGTGGAGCTTTAGTGAGACAGACAGAGAGAGAGAGATCATGGAGAAAAACTTGGCTAGTGAGTGAAATGAAAGCTATGGAAAATAGAGTGGGATAGGTAGTCTGTTGGAGGAAAATTTTAGGAATAATCTTTTCACGACGTTTTTTTAAAATGTAGTAATTAATATTTTAAGTTTAATTTAAAATTATAAAAATTACACTCTGCGACGAATATAAAAATGTCGTGAAATAATAATTTTATTTAATATAAAATTAAAATTTATCTTCTATGACGAATTTATAAAAATGTTGTTAATTAATATTAATATTTCATTTTACTTTAATAACTAAAATTTATATTCTGCGACGAAATATTTAAACATCGTGAATTATATATTTTGACTTAATTTTTTATTTTAATTTTAAATTATTTATTTTTGCGATTAATAAAAACTATCTACGACAAAAAAAAAATTGCTATAAAAAATCTTCAATTCCCGCCAATTCTCACACCAAAAAAAAAAAAAAAAAAATTGGAGGGAATCACCTTTTCGTGTTGTTTTTTAAAAAATGTCACAAAAAAATTGCGACAAAATTATAAAATCGTCATGAATAGTACATTCTGCCCAAAAAAAAAATTGGGAAGGAGTCACCTTTTTGCGACATTTTTTAAAAAAACATTGACATTAAGGGCATGTTTGGTAACTGTTTTTGTCTTGTGTTTTGGGTTTTTGTTTTCAATTTTTGTCAAAAATGAAAATAAAAATATGTTTGGTAACTGTTTTTGTTTTTGTTTTATATTAATTGTATTGGAGATAAAGACAAAAAAATGGAAACAAAAAAAAGATGTTCTAGGAAACATGTTTTCTGGAAACTCGTGTGCGCTCCACAACCTATTTAATGAGTTCCTCCATTCGAATCCCATTAGTAACAAAAAGAGGGTTTGATTTTGTGTTTACTATAAATACCCTTTGAAGGGTTTTTTTTGTCTTTTTTCTTCACTCTATTATCTCTCTCTCTCTCTCTCTCTCTCTCTCTCTCAGGCGAATATTGATACCTTAGACGAAGAAGAACTCATAAACGACAAAGATCGATACCTTAGACGAAGATTGATCTGTCGTTCTCTCTTTGTCTCGCTCTCACAAACGACGAAGAACTTAGATGATCTCTCTCTGTCGAACTCAGATGAAGAACTCAAACGACAAACCACGAAGAACTCAGATCGATAACTCAGATAGATACTTCAGATGATCTATCTCTCTCTGTCTCGCTCTCGTTCTCTGTTAAAACCCAAAAAATCTGTGTGTGTGTGTGTGATCTGTGAAAACCCAGAAAATCTATGTGTGTGTGGGTGTGTGCGTGTGTGTGAATGATATGTGAAAACCCAAAAAAATTGTGTGTGTGTGTGTGTGAGTGAGTGATCTGTGAAAACCCAGAATCAAACCCTCCAAATTAAACCCAAATGCATTCCCAGAATCAACAACCAAAATAAATCATCTGTGTTAATTTGCTACATTTTGCGATTTTGATTTCTCAAACCATCTGTGATTATTTGATTGTTAAATTTCTTGAACAACAATCAAAATAAATCTATATTGATTTTATTGGGGGAGTTTTCAGGTGGGGTGGAGGAGTTGTAGGGGGTGGGTTTGTAGTAGTGGAAGTTTGATTTGTATTTTGTTGGGGTGGAGGAGTTGCAGGTAGGGTGAAGGTTTAAGATCCATTTATACACTCCTCATTTTGTCTGTTTTGACTTTTTTTGGAGACCATTGATTTCAATAGTGATCTAGAACAACACTTTAAGTTATCTCTTTTAGTCAGGAATCTGAAACGAAAGCTTGATGATGTTGAATAATATTTGTTTTGTGTGATGATGTTAATGGGTTTGAAGAAATATGTCTAGTTTCTTGAGTTATGGGATATTGGTTGGCACGGTTATATAATAATGGGATATATTCAGTTAAGGTGGATGGATTGGCTAAACAGTCCAAACTAGGTAGAAATGCTTCTCTTTCATCAGATGATGTAACTGTATCGAGTGGTTTGGTATTTGGCCATAAACTAGAAAATTGGTTTTATTTGGTTGGTGTTGAAGTTGATTTTGACTGATTCAGAGCAGTATCTCATCTTATTTATTGCATATATATTGATATTATGTTGTAGGGTTTTAACAAATCAGGGATTAGGGGGCTCATGGAGGTGTAAATGGTGGAGTTAGATGGTTAGAGATGGACATGATTGTTAGTGGGTGGAGATGGAGAATAGACAATATGAAAGGAGTCATATAGCGGAACTATGGACAATCCAACAAGGCTTACAACTGATGATTGATTTGTTTACAATTTTTTTGTAGTAGTGGATTTGTAGTAGTGAATGTTTGATTTGTATTTTGTTGGGGTGGAGGAGTTGCAGGGGGTGGGTTTTTGTAGTGGATGATTGATTTGTCGAGGGAGTTTCGGGTAGGGTGAAGGTTTGTTGTATGAGATATTATAAAGCATATTTAGGATAAAACGTGAAGTAGTTATCAAACATATTTTTTGTTTTTATTCTCATAATTTGATAGACAAAAATGACTGTCAAACATGTTTTTTATTTCAGTGTTTATTACAAAACAGAGTTAAAAATTGTCTCTGTTTTTTATTTTTTTAAAGATGCGAAAACGAAAACGTTACCAAATGACCCATAATATTTTAAGTCTAATTTAAAATTACAAAAATTATATTTTGGGACAAATATAAAAATGTCGCAAAATAATAATTTTATTTAATACAAAAATAAAATTTATCTTCTACGACAAATTTATAAAAACGTCACTAATTAATATTAATATTTCATTTTACTTTAATAACTAAAATTTATATTCTGCGACGAAAAATTTAAACGTCGCGAATTATATATTTTGACTTTATTTTTTATTTTCATTTTATATTTTTTTATTTTTGCAACAAATTCAAATTTTCTACGACAAAAATTTTTTGTCGTAAAACATCTTCAATTCCCGCCATTTCTCGCGTCAAAAAAAAATGAGAGGGAATCACCTTTTCGTGACGTTTCTAAAAAACGTCGCCAAAAAAAGAAATGTGGGACAAAATTATGAAATCGTCACAGATAGTACACTTTTTGTGACAAATTAAAATTCGTCGCAAAAAAAAAACATCACAAAAAATGATTTTTGTTATAATGACCCAAATTTGAGACAAATTTTAGGCTCGATGGTCTAGCCTGAATCCAAACAAGCCCCTTCATATCCAATTCGAGTTTGAGCATACCAAATTCAACATACTAAATTTTGGAAGATTCAGGTCAATTAGCACCCCTAATTGTAACTGCATACTTGGTCGTAAACTATGTTCTATTCAGATTCCACTCAATTGTACACCCTTCACATAGAACGCTTCAATAGAAGAATCCTTGTGACTTAGAAAAAATTGAATTTTTCATCCAACAGATAAGTCCAAAACCATAAACAAAGTTCAATTTAGGTTTTCCTCGAAGTTTGAGCATTGAGTTTAATGGTGATAATTGAATTGTGATGTATCATATCATATTGGAAAACTAGTTATTGCATGTGTTTGAAGGCACAGAGTAATAAAAAATAAAAAATAATAAAAATATTTGTATTCATATCCAATATCAAATCACAAACATAAAGGAGAGATAAATAAATTTAAGCATCGGTTATAGTGGGGGTGAGACGTGGTGGGCGGCAATAGTGGTGGTAGGAGACGATGATGGTTGTGGTGGGTGGGAATGACCGTGGTGGCGGAGGCGACAACAATTGTGGTGGTGGTGGTGACAGCGATAATGGTGATGGTGGCGACGGTGGTGGCGACGATAGTGGTGGTGGTGGTGGTGACGATTATGGCAGTGGCAGTGGCAGCGGCAGTGGCGGTAGTGGTGGTGGTGGTGGTGGTGGTGGTGGTAGTGGCAGTGGTGCAGTGGTGGTACAGGTAGTGGTGGAGAGATTTCAAACACTATATTTTTTTTAAAGTACTTAAGAGAAATAATTTCTAGAAGTACTTTTAAAAAGTAATTTCAAACACACCTTTAGGGCCCAATTTTTTCTATTAAATTTAGGGTGTTAATATTAGCCGTTAGATTAACTTTAAAATAAAATTTAAAGCGATCTAAACCGCGAAAAGCAAAAATTATTTTATTTATTTTTTAAAATTTGAATTGTAAACTATTTTATTATATAGACTAGTTATTGTCTGTGCTTGAAGACACAAAATAATAAAAAAAAATGGTAAACAATAAATATATTTATTTTCATATCCAAAATCAAATCACAAACATAGAAAAAAAAAATAATTTAAGCATTAGTTTGTAGTGAGGGTGAGAAGTGGTGGACGATAGTGGTGGTAAGAGACGGTGATGGTTATAGTAGGTGATAATGATTGTGGTAGTGGTGGCAATGATGGGGGTGGCGGCGACAGAGGTGGTGGGGGTAGCGATGACGGTAGGGTTGGTCATGGCGGTGGTGGTCGTGGCGACGATGGTGGCGATGGCGGCAGCGGTGGTGGCGATGTGGTAGAGGTAGTGGTGAGACGGTTTCAAACACTATTTTAAAAAAAAAATATTTGTGAATAATAATTTTTAAAAGTACTTTTAAAAAGTCACTCCAAACACACCCCTAAGAGTTTTATTTTTTCCATTAAATTTAGGGTGTTAATATTAACCGTTAGATTAATTTTAAAGTAAAATTTAAAGCGATTTCAACCGCGAATAACAAAAATTATTTTGTTTATCTTTTTAGATTTAAATTATAAGCTACTTTATCATATAGATGTTACATAAGCTAAAAAAACACAAAAATTAAAATTTAAAATGTATATTATTCTTTAGATGAATGTGAAATAAGTAGATGCTACTAAAAAAATTGATAGACTTATTCATCCAATGTATAATACGTATTTGAGTTATAATTTTTTAGATTTTTTTAAGTTGAATATTACAAGTTGAAAATTAAAATTTAGGAGCAGCACCTTTCAATCTCAACCAAACACACCTCTCGCAAGTACCATAAAACCAAAAATCTATAAAATCTATCTAATATCAAAACCAATAATACTCGTCTGATTCTAAAAGAGTTCAATAATATTTGATCAAGAAAACAAAAGATCTTTTCTAGTATAATACTAGTAAAACAAGTTAAAAATCAAGTTATATATAATTTTGAAACTAGCACAATTCGTTTATAGAAGTGATAGCAGATCAAGTCATTTTTAAATTTATGTGGAAAACAAGTTTATCGTAACCTACTAATTTTACATTGCATACATGCCAATAACTTTTGAATATCTCTCCGGATTTGGAGAAATTTGTAAAAAAAATAATGTTATTATATTTTAAAAATTAATTTAATTTATTAACTTAATATGACAATGACATAATTTAATTATATTAATAAATCATGTCAGTATTTTTTAGGTCCAATAGAATTACTCTGTCAAATACTTGGACCATTTAAATTACATCAACATAGGCGTATAACTCATAAGCCCTAGGCCTTGCACTACATTTTGGGACAATCTGCAAGAAAGAACGGGAAGATCTCCCTCTTTCTCAGAGTTGTGGCCATGGCATTGGAAACGTATGCATCACAAAACGCAGACAAAGTCCACACCGACGTCCTCTTGCAAGCTAGAGAAGCTTGCTATAAGGTACTACTACACTTTATCCGCTGATCATGTCCACATATACCTATAATTGTGCTTCAAGATTTATGTCTGAGTCCATGTAATTCAAAGAAACCTCAAGAAAGCTGATGAATTCTTAACCTTGGGAACCCACAAGGCGCGTGATGCATTTTACGCATGTTTTGAGAAAGAATCGAACAAGAAACCAACCGAAATTGCGTCCGTGGGACTGCTCTATCCAGTGGAATGCAAGAAAACTAGGGAGGAATATGTGAATCAGTGCAGACCCACTTGGGTAAGTTCTGAAAACTAAAGAAATTATTGGCTTTTGAGTTTGATGTTATATTTATGATGTGGGGTTTTGAATATGGGTATTGCAGGTGAAGCATTTTGACAGGCAATACTGTGCTAAAAAGAGGGTTCAGAGGCTTTTGGATGATAACGAGTCCAGAAGAGGTCCTTTGTCACTTCCACAGGCTTACACTTTTAAACCCCCTAGTAATTGAATTTGACCTATATAGTTTGGAATATTGGGCTATCTAGGTTGTCTTTGGTATTGATTTTGTTGGATGTTAATGAATTTATAGTTGTATAGTGACTGCAGCAGAAATTTCAATTCCTAATGGACTAGTAGTGGTTATAATTGAAAGGAAAACGAAATTTTAAGTTTTTGAATATTAAATTGTTTCGGAGCATTGCATATACTCAATTTGAATCCTCTTACAATTTCAATTCCATGTGAGTTCTTGAATTGAGGAATTTTTCCAATTACTTATAGGGGTGAACAATTATTTAAGGAGTACCACAATGCATGTCGTCATTGGTTTGGGTTGAACTATTTTGGCAGGGGTTTAAGGCTTGACCCCTGAGGAGAGGGAAGTGAAAACTTATTTCAGTTTTGCTGGGAACTCATTGATGATTCTTGTGTTGAAAATTACACAATTGTTGAGCAAGATCAAAAAAAGTTCTAGATGTCTCTGTGCTTGCTCTATCACTGAGGATTTGCCTTGTTTCATGGAATCCAGCACTTTTGGCAATAGTGGTTAGTTTCAGCAGAAATGTATTTGGATTTGGTTGTTTTAAGCATGTTGCTTGCTTGTTTAAGGTACTGCATTCCAAGTATTTGAGTAAAGCTTTTTATGTCACTACTCTCTTTCCCATGCATGCCCATTTGTGGGGACAAAATAGTATCTTCTCTCTAGATTGAATGAATTGCTTTTGTATGCTTCCAATATTAAACATGGTTTTCAAATTCGTAAACTAGACTGAGCTTGGCCTAATTTGAATAGTTGGTAAGTTGGAATGTTATTGGGAAAATGAAAAAAGTAAAACAGAGATGGAGTATTTTCTTCAAATAACACCTAAGGGGATTGCAACAAAATGATCTAGAGACAAAGAATGAGTTAGGAAGGAATGAATGGTTAACTTTATCGTGCTTTGCTTGAATTCATCAAATACATGGAGTTTAATTAATTTGGGCCTTCTAAAAAAAATAGCTTTCCTGGTGTTCAAATAATATCTTAATCCCCTTATCTTGTCTCCTCTATTTTCATCTCACCATGTGCAACATAGACACATTATTTTGTCATGATAATTATCTTCTAGTACATTTATATGTGGGCATTTCAAATCTAATAAGTAGCATCTATTGGATGTAGATGGCCAATTGTGATGTACCCATGTGCTTAGGTTAAGTTCACTAGCAAACATGTAATCAATGACTCTGTGAAACTGAAGGACCATTAAAGTTATTTTTTTACTGGCCAAGTTTTTAGTGTTAGAATCTTAATTAACTTTATTACAAGGTCTAGATATCGTCCTTGTTTGACGTGATATACTTACTGACAAAATCATATTACCTATCCAACAAAAGTAATATTGACGATTTTGAAGATTAAATGATATTTTTTTTAAATTGAGAGTTTTGATAAATTTGAAAATAGCTGCATTCACCCGTGGATTTTGAAGTACACTTATTTTGTGGCTTCAGAGGAAGCAAATAATTATGATATATAGTGGTGACATCTGAGTTTATATGTGGTGACATCTGAGTTTTTATCTTCCATTTGTTTGAAGATAAAAACTTGAGATCTTCTGCTTGGAGAAGGATTCATTTGTGCCTTTCTACAACGGGTAGGGTCAAATTCTTCCAAATTTTTTTAATGGACATGGGAGATTAAGTTGATCTGCATTGGAGTGGGAGGTTTTGGTTGAATGGTTAGACAGATAACATGTGCTACCTACTCTTTCTTCAATGAGTTTATGTTTACTTAATGTTTAAGGAACACGTCATTATGGGTAAATAAAATCTTCATTGTGCACTTCATGCTCAGTCTATTTGGAACGTGTTCACACTGTGGTGTAGGCATGAGGTGTTTTTGAATGCAACTGATACTGCACTGTCTTGTGGGAAAAAAAAGAATGTGCATACCTAGTTTATTTGATATTTCCGAAAGTACTTCATAGACTGAAGTCTACATATTATGATGGTTTGAAAGGGACTAAGGTTCCTGTGTCAAATATGCTCTGTTACTCCCAGTTTTGTCCTCCAGTGTTGAAAATGGGGACTAAGGAGTTTTGGAAAATTACCTGTACCTTAGATGCTGTGACAGATCTGAAAACCAATGAGAGTTTTAATTCTTCAATTGTCATCCATGTTTTCTAGGCTTTTACTTTCGTTAACCATATGGGATTTGCATTTATTTATTGTTTTTTTTTCAATTTTTTAAACATACAAGTCGCCTTTAGTTTATCTAATTTTTTTTTACCCATTTGAATCGATTTATGGAATTATTTTTCCTGTTCGTATTTAGTTAGACCTTTGATATCTGCTGGACATCTTAACTTTTGGTATTGAGTTTTTAAGCTGTACCTTTCTCAATTCATTGTTTATTAGAAATTTAGATGTTGGTTTGATTTCTGAGGCAAAGCCTAGAACTGTGGATAAGCAAAACTAGCAACTTACTCATTCTTTTTCATTTCTTTTGATTGTTTGCGGTGAGTTTTGTACCCCTGACCCTATATCTCATGCCAACACCTGACCGACTGTGCTATAAAGGCTTTGGCATCAACTATAGTAGGATCCCCATAAATTGAGATTCACTGCATTTGTGTTCATAGGTATTTGCCAAAGGTCCTATACATGTTACGAAGGGTTTGGAACCAGAACCAGAAATGCAAAACTATTGGCATACTAGTATTTTAGCTAGTTGAAGATCTATTTTATGGGTGCAGTATAGTTGGGTGGAGTTTTAGTTTTGGCTTCCTGATATGCTTATCTACTTTCTTCACCATCAAGGATGAAATGATTGTCATCTTGTGCTTAGGCTCATTATGTTTTTCATCATTTTCAAGCTATTTGTCAACTACACGACTTTCTTTTCTTTTCATATGCCCTTTTATGAAATCAAGCACGGCATTAGGTGAAGGGCATTGTCAAAAATATACCATCATTGGAAAAGATCGGATTCAGATTTTTTTTTTAATATATTTTCTCTTCACTTCTCCTCTTGGTATATCATTCATCAGTAATGTGTGAGGGATTCATTTGTATACAATGAATCTCACTGGAGTGAATGGTAGGATAATCCGTCAAAAAGGAAAATGAAAAGAAAATGTAGTTGAGAGAATCTCACTTCAAAAAGATGGATTAAGATCATTTTCAATACATTTTTTCTTTAAATTTTTTCTTGGCAGATTATCTACCATTAATGAGGGAGGAATTCACTTATACACAAGGACAGAATTAGAATTTCATTCTGAGGGGACCAAACAATGGCATAGTCTATCACAATCAATTACCATACAGCACAATCATAAAAATAGTTTATTTCATAATATCCAAAATTGAGTTCTTAGTTACTTACGGTATAAAAATTAGTTTGTGACAATCTCACCATCCATCTTTACCTTTGTTTAAGATATGATATAATGATTAACAATAAAATATCATTAAAAAATAGATTCACATGACACTATAATAAAATTGAGTCAAATATTAATGCACTTTTTTTAACAAAAATAACTTTTTTACCTTAATTTTACGTTAATATCATTTGTTTTCTTTTGGTCATCAGATTCATCCAAATAAGTATTATTGTTTGTAACGACCTATTGTTACATTCTTTAGTTACTAATGTCAAACTAGTTAGCTTTTTGCGTATATTAGTAATGCATCAGGTGTGTTGCATATGAATAATTTTTGTACACAAAAATTAATAAAACATATTAAGTATATATGTAACTTAATTAAATATCATTTCAAATTTACCAAACTTAATTTTTTATTACTCAAATTCTATTATACGAATTATGAAAATTTTGTATACTCCCAAAATTATTTGTTTTAACTATTAAAAAAAAAAAGAAATAGTTAAAGTTCAATTTTTTTAGAATTTTGTGATTGAGATTGATTTTTTAGTGATGTTTGAGAAATGAAATTTTTTGAAATTCATTTAATTAGGATTTCACTTATAATCCCTTGAATAATATAAAAATAATTATTAATATACTAATCACATTGGAACCTTACTATAATTAGAAATTAGTTAAGTCAATTGAGATAAAATTTAACATACTACTCTACAATATGTATTATCAAGCATAGTAAAATACTAAAACATTCAAGTTTTACTTAAAAATATTCTATAATATCTATTTTTACATAAAATTTTAGTACAATTTAAAAAGTTTATTGTGACTAAAGAATTATACTCATATAATATAAATTAATTTTAAAAAAACTATACATACGATTATATTTTTATCTTAAAAATAAAATGGTTAAACTTTTCGATGAAAAAAAATATATATATGTGGGCATAATGTTATATTTGTATATGAGATGTGCAATATTAGATTGATTGAGTTTTTGAAGGTTGTTTTGAACGTTTTATTAAAAATATATTATGATTTTTTAGGATAATATAATCAATTAATTTTTTTTTATAGAAACTGATTAAATAATTAAAAGATATGTTATAGATAATTTGGAAATTTAAAGACATAAGAATGTGATGGTAATGTAGATATTCAATTGTAAAAAGATAAAGGGGTCTTTATAATTTTTTATAAGGGTAAAATAGATATTCAAAATTTTTTAATGTTAAGGTATTTTTATTAGTAGTATAAATTAAATAAATTACTTATATATATGATTTTTTAAACCTAAAGAAAAATATAGGGTTTTTAAAAAACTTATGGAAATTATAGCAATTTTAGAAAACGTGTGTGTGTGTGTTGGGGGGGGGGGGGGTAGGCCAATGCCTAATTCCGCTTATCCACCAAAATATATATATCGGAGGAGATTTCACTCTAAAAATATAATATTTGATATGAAATTATTAGCATGACTTACAATATATATATTTTTTGTAATAATTATTTAATTCTCTTTCAAAAAAAATATTTATTTAATTAATTTTAAACATGAGATAAGATAAAGACAAATCATATTTCTATCCTTATCTCAATCGTCCAATCGAATGGATTTGGATACCTCGTGTAATTTTATCCCAATCGTTAACTTACCAAATTGCCCCGTAGGGCTTGGTATTTCAGGTTCAGGCTGCTGCATAGGGCTTTTCTAAGGGTGAAGAGCTGGGGGTAAAATTGGAAAGAGGGCGAAGGTCTATAAACTTCGTTTAACAACGAGAGAAAAAGGCCATAACGCATATAAAGCCCATTTGACTTTGTCTTTATCCTTGTAAAACCCTAGCTCCCGTTGTTAACATCCCCCGAAAAAATTCTATTTTACCGTTCCACTTTCGAATCTAAGATGGGAATAACAAAATCACCCAATTTGCATCACAATCTACTCTCTCAAATTCAACGATTTTGCACCAATTGACACAAAAGTTTGCGATTTTAAGGTCAGGTTCCTTATCCATGTCTCGGTTTCTTGCTTTAATTGCTTCAATATTAGGAATTTGGTCATGTTTTATTATCTGAATGTTTATTGTTTGTGTATTGATTAATGGGTTTGTTTGAATATCTGTGTTTTTTGCAGATTTACGATTTTAATATTGTTGGATTGGGTTTTGTGGGTTTCTGCTTTCTTGATTTGAATTTGATGACAATGTCGATTTTGCCCAGAAGTGATTCAATTCATATAAGGGAAGTTTGGAATGATAATCTAGAAGATGAGTTTGCATTAATCCGCGATATTCTAGATGATTATCCATATATAGCTATGGACACTGAATTTCCTGGGGTTGTTCTTAGTCCTATAGGGAATTTCAAGAGCTCCACCGAGTATAATTTTCACACACTGAAGGCCAATGTCGATCTTCTGAAGTTAATCCAACTGGGTCTTACATTTTCTGACGACAATGGGAATCTTCCCACTTGTGGGTCTGATAAGTTCTGTGTTTGGCAATTCAATTTTCGCGAATTTAATCTCAATGAGGATGTCTATGCCAATGACTCTATCGAGCTTTTAAGCCGAAGCGGAATCGATTTTGAGAAGAATAATGAAAAGGGTATTGATGCTAATCGGTTCAGTGAGCTACTGATGTCATCCGGTATTGTGTTGAATGATAATGTGCATTGGGTGACGTTTCACAGTGGATATGATTTTGGATACTTGCTTAAGCTATTGACTAGTCAAAATCTCCCTGATACACAGGTCGGGTTCTTCAATTTAATCAGGATGTATTTCCCCACTCTATATGATATTAAGCATCTCATGAGGTTCTGTAACAGCCTTCATGGTGGGTTGAACAAGCTTGCAGAGCTTTTGGAAGTGGAGAGGATTGGTATTTGTCATCAAGCTGGTTCGGATAGTTTGCTTACTTGTTGTACATTCATGAAGTTGAAAGAAAATTTCTTTAGTGGCTCACCGGAAAAATATACTGGTGTGTTGTATGGTCTTGGTATTGAGAATGGACAAATTAGTAATTGAAAAAAGGTATTTTATAAATAACATAATAATCTTTTTGTTAGACTACATTTTTTTTCAGTATTGGCTTCTTTTTGTGTTCTCTTTATGAATTTTTTTCTTCCTTTTTTCCGTTCACTCCAATTGCCCTGCAATACCCTTTTTAAAAGATAAAATTATAAAATTGTGCTGGAATTGTACCCATTTTGACATGACTCAAACCAAGTTTTGCCATGTATCGTGTAGCTTGCATGCACTAATGTTAATCTTCACTTTTTTAGGATCACTTAAGCTTGAGTTGAGTTGCTATCCCTCTTCTTACAGTCTCTTTTTGCTGCGAGGAAATATGAGACATAAGAATCCTATGTTTTGAAGCTCAAATGACTCATAGCTGCATAAGTCTACATGCAAATAAGCCAAATGCTATTATATAGCTTAGTTGGGTATAATTCCCAATCTTCTATAGTATTGTTAAAATAGTGGGATTATAATGCTGCTGCTTGTCACTACATTTGAGCTGTTTTAGACACTGAATTGATGATCATAATCACCACTCTCTTTTGTAGTGGTGGTTCAAATAGGCGACATAATTTGAGGAAAGGAAGATCTGTTACTTCTTAGATATCCATTATTTCATCTTACTTTGTGACATTGTATGCTGTTCAATAATAGCTAACATACTAAACCTCCTTCACCATTGCCCTCTAGGTTAATGACTGCCTTATCTGCATGACAACTGACAAAGGTGTTATCCTTGCTTGCTCCATTGGTCGTATGAAGTGTGTTGGGAACATACACAGTTTATGTTCTGAAAGGAAGAAAAAAAGTGTATGAAAACCGTGTTATAGATTTGCATCATTACTTATAAAATTTGTATTGGGTGAAACACGTATTATTCATGCCCCTTTGCAAATTTAATTCCACTAGTTTTTCAGTTAGTGTTTTAAAAAATCTTGTATTTTCTTGCATCATTTAGTTACAATGAGAATCCCAGGTTTAAATGCCAAAGTTTTCCTAGAAGCGGCGGGAAATTGTTCTTCATTTGATTGGTATGAAATCTTGTCTCCAAGAACAACTGTCTGTAGGGTTTGATACTTCTAGCTTAATCTGAATCTATTAATTCTGCTCTTTCGAATAATCTTTTCTTTGCCAAATTGCCCAATGCCTCTTTGCTTAGTCCAGTTGCCTGAATTTCTATCTTAAAGCACCGAAACTTATTCTGTTTAGTGTTCACATCCATTGGCTCTCTCTTGTCTTTCTACACTAGAGACTTGCAGTAGAATGTGGGATTTAGTAAATCCAGATAGTATTCTGATGTGCAGAGATTGTATTGGTTTTGGACAATCTTTGTTACTTGTTTTTCATACTCTAGCTTTTCTATACAGAGACTGGAACCTTTTGTTCATCTAGTTAACATTATTGGTACCTCATACATTTTATCCTACCTCACAGTGAGATCTAACTTGTCAGGTACAGCTAGTGTCGTACCAATCCGTTTTTTGTGAGCCTAGGAGCCCAGCATTTAGGTTTTTTAAATAGGTTTTATCCCACTCAACCATTTGCTAACCTGCTTCATTTGATAATGTTGATTTAGCTATTGTCACATACATGTGGTATCACAATCGACAATAAGATGCTAAAAGTGTATAATCTGCCTTAAATATGTATATGTGGCAGGTAAATTGGATTGCGTCCGATTAAACATATGTGACATATACCATACACATCTTGCTTTCAGGTTGTACAGCTGTCAATGATGACTTGATATTGCCGAGTTACCGAATATTTACTCCTATCTTAGGCCAATGCCTGGCATTATATTATAAAAAATATTTAGCATCCACTTAATTAAATGCATTGAAAAGTTAAGGGTAAATTTGAAAGAAAAAATATTAATTATGTTTTGGTTTTATAAAGCGACAGATATTATAGAATAAAAAAAAATTATCTAAAACGACAGATATTTAAGAACGGAAGGAATATTAGTTTAGTAATACAGGAACTAAATGAATTCCTTCTTATAATAGAAAGTGGCTAGTCAGCAATGTACCGAGTCTAATAACCTGGCTATTTTCGTGGGAGGAAAATGGGTTTCCACAGATACCCCAAATCAAGAAGAGAGAGTGGGTGGGCTGTTTGGTTTATGTTTCAAAAAATAGTATTCGAAAATAGTTTTTGAGAAGAGTTTTAAGAAAGTGGTTTTGATATTTTTTGAGATAAAAAATTTGTTTAGTTAGATGATTTCAAAAACAATTTTATAATACAAAAAATAGCAAAACCTGGATAGCCTAAATATATATTTGAACAGTAATTCAAACATTAATAAAAAAATATTAAAAAGTTATATATATATATATATATATATATATATATATATATATATATATATATCCATATCTGAACATCCAAAATTGTTCTCATTATTTCCGAAATTTTCAAAAAAAAACTCTGAAAACAAACTACACTTGTTTTCTGTTTTTTTTGACTCAAATTTTATTTTTTTTCAAAATTTAGAGAATAAAAATACTAAACAAACAAATTTTAGATATTTTTAAAATTTTGAAAACAAAAAACTGTTTTGCAGAAGTTGGCCACGTATCATGTTGATTGATTCTTTTGGAGTAGAACGAGTTCCAGAGGCCTGATTGGTTCACTCGGTGCCACCTAAGGGGAGAACATTTGAGAGCACACAGGAGGTAAAAAAATTTCATGTAATTTTACAGCTAACTCTTAACTATATTATTTAGTTCTTGATGTGACGATAAGAATATTGTATGTAGATCAAAACGTAATGGGTTTGAGTGAGACAACTTCTTCGCATGCAAAGAGGTGGGTAAATCTAACCATCCACGAGTCTTGCAGTGGTAAGTGGCAGAAACCTGTGCACTAATTTTTTTTTTTTCATGTTCAAGTAGATTGAGATATGAGCCAAACAAGAACAGACCCACAGACAGAATTCTGCTATATGAGATTTATGCTATAAGCAACTAGCATAAGGATGCATGCCATTCCTGAAAGCACTAGATACAGAAGGAAGCGAGAGAATGTCTAAATTGCCCTTGTCCCCCTGTTTGACGGCAAGTTGAATGAATTTCATCTGTCAAAGAATAGTTTGGACAAACCAAAAACCCAATGAACAGCAGGTTTGGCTAATCTAACGCATGGCCATCACTCTGTATTTATTTCCAATGTAGAATCCCAAACAAATGATAGAAAGCAGGATGATTTCACACAATAGATCGACATTTCTCAATTGGAATTTTCGGAAATACATATTCGCCGTTATTTGCATTCAGAGGTCCAACTGCAGCAATCTGTTTTTTTCCCTTTCAACTGAAAACTGATATTAGTGTCTCTCCTACTTACACAATCCACCTTAGACATACAAACAGCAAGGTGAAGGCAATGATGATCTAGACTACACACAGATGGATCTAGCACATGATCCTCTTTTTGAACTAATTTGAAATACAATTTTCAGAGCAATCAAAGATATTGTACCATGACAAATGGCACAAAGCATTACAAATGCCTAGATGGCATCCAATTTACTAGAGTGAAGAATGCCTGATAGCGTTTACGTGTATATCTGGTTGCTTCCACTGTGCCAATCAGAAGTTTCACCGTCCACCCAATATCTCATTGCATAACCTTGGTAAAAATTACACAAAGCAATCACACATGAAAACTATCCTAATCTAGCTTCTCTTCGTAACACCTGCAACAGAAAAAAAGTGGGTGAATTAAGGCAAAGCAAGGTAATCTCTAAAAAGTTTACAGAAAGAATATGCCCAGAGCAGGAAAATGGAAAATTTTCTGGACTTCAACAGAGGTAATGATGCCAATCAAAATCGAAGGGCAATCTTTTAAGTAGAGGGAAATTCTATATTAGCCTGAATGCTAATCAATAACAAGAAACAGCATCTCAACAAGAGTCTGAAACCCTACATGGGCTCGAAAAGCCTCTTTTCAATATAATATCCGGTTCGAGAAATACTAAATTAATCATGGATCGAGGTTACCACCCATGAGTCCATTCAAAAAATGCACAGCTCCACGGTTTAGTTGCCAGTGAACCAAAATTCTCCAAAATTCAAAACCAATGGCTATACCAATGTATATGTTAAATAAGTAATTGTCAAATCGTGTGGAGATATGTTATGAAGCAATGTCGCATGAGACCGCAGAAAACTCCAATGTAAAGGAATTAGAAACTGCATCCCAGAGAGTGGAGCAGAATCAGGTTTTACATAGAAGCCAAACAATCTTTTATAGCTCCTTTTGTTGCAGCAAATGACAAAACCTGCTCGTAACAGCTTGGACTTGGCTGTTATGGAGCTCATTAAGGATCATCCACCAACTCAACAAGCTAAGCACATGCTTAGATTAGATTTTGAGGTCGATCTTAAACTGACAACACCGAATAAATAGCTGACTTAAATGTGAATAGTGGTACTACGATATTTCCTTTTGACACTAAGGGTTAAGGTAATAAAGGATTGATTGATTTGAGTAAGATTATGCAAATATTGTAAGCTAGAGAAAGCTGAAACTTAGCTTCAACTTGTGGCCAAATTCCAACAGGGCAAAATTGAACAGCCCATTACTCCAGCAGGATAGCTTGGTTCATTTGCAGCCTCAGCTCCAGTTAGGCCAGGTTTCAGATGCATGTCAAGCACTGTTTCCTTATAACACTTAACATTTTATCCCATTAAAGAAAGTTCAAATGAACCCAATTTTATAATCATAATCTACTTTTTATTTAGATATGAACCCAAGTTTCATTACTTCAACCTTTAATATTAGATAGCGGAATCCTGTTGGTCATGATTTTGGAGCATTTGCAATTTAGTAAGTGAAAACATATTCCAACTTTCCATTTACACTGACTGTATATTTCCCAAATATTTTAAGTTTTAAAAAAAAATCAATTAAATCAACTGGCTTATCTATACTCTGCCTAAAATTAGGCAAATTCTAAAAAGTTCAGAATCTAAATTGAAATCAACTTCATGAAAAGAAATTTGTTAGAATTGGTAAGAAAACTACAATTTATTTGAATCAACTGCATTCTGTCAGTAATTTTCTTTTTTGTTTCTTTGTGTGTGGTGGGTGTGTGTGTGTGTGTTTTTTTTGGGGGGGGGGGGGGTGGGGGTAGTCAATAATTTGGCAATTCTAAAAAGTTCCAAAACCTACTTGACTGCATATTCTAAATCATGATTGCAATTTTTAATGGTATTACTTTATTCAGAATGTTTAAAAAAAAAAAAAAAAAAGGGCAGGAGGAGGAAAGGAAGACAAATGCAGAATTTCAAAGAAAGAAATCACATTAGACACTTCTATATGTCAAAGGTGGAAATAATTAAGATCATTTCCACGACTTGGAAGTTGCAAATGAGCAAACGCACAAACTAAATCCATAGCTTTTTATTTGGTTGGTGAATTTCCCCTTCATGCATAAATGATCTTTTCTTTTGGTTATACAAGAAGTGAAATTTGAACATCACACAGCCCCAATGGCATAGAAACAAGTTCCATAGTCGGTTACTTATCAATCAAATGCAAAAATTGTTTCACATTTTTTCTTTTGTTTAAAAAATCAATGATTATTTTATAGTAGATATAATGCATGAGAGATCCAAACAATATATGCAACAGATTTCTTATCCAACCTTGTTTAATGTAATTTTAAGTTTTCGTTAAGCAAGTGTCCTATCAAAAAAACAAGCTAAATATATCACTTAAGACAAAGAATCAGTGAAAATAAATAATAATGTAAAAATGTATAGCATCTACCTCTTCAGCAAATTTTATCAATATGGTTGTACGTGGTCGCTGCTGGCCCTCCACAGGTACAAAATGAGCCGTTACCACTGATGGAAAACCTGCACTATCCAAAACACCCTTCAAAGAGCAGAAGAAATCTATTAGTTTTCTGACAGAAGATGATCAATTAATGCAAACTAAGCCAACATGATACACACCCTTACTATTCCAGCAACAAATGCCCCGCAGTTAAATGCTCCCATGTCTTTTGGTATAGAAATAAATCTACAATCCAAAATAAGGCACATCAGGTAGACATTAACTGAAAAGTATAGCTCCAACAAGATGGCAGAGGAAGCAAACATGAGAGAGACACAATATAAATCACAAACAACAGGAATTTTTTACCTGTTAACAAGGAGCTCCTTTTCACTGATCATGTATTCATCTTCATGTTCAGTGCCTTTCTCAAGTGAATCAGCTACCTGATATGATACCATAAAAGAGGTGGAAAGATGGTCACTGGATTTGAAAATTTTGCAAAATTTTAGGCCTAAATTGTTTAACTGCATCCGTATTAAACATTGTTAAGAATATTAGGGTAGTATGTGTAAATTGTTAATAGTAAGAGGATGTATGTGTAATATTTATTATTGTGAGTTAACTATAAATACAAGTGATGAATGAGAGCTAGGTTAAATTTTTAACCACTCAGTTCTCTCTAATATTGTGTTAACTCTAAATTTAACATAGTATCAAAGCAATTAAAATCCTAAATAAAGAAATAATAATTTAGCGTGATGTCGTCGAAGACATCGTGGTGGTGGAAACGCTTACAGTGGCCTTGATGGCGTTGTTGACTGTGGTGGTGTCGACCGTGGCACTGTGGTGTTGTTGATTGTGGTGGTGTCGATCGTGGTGGTGCTGTCATTATTGTTTGTCTATGTGGTGGTGCTATTGTAGTGTTGTTTGTTGTGGTGGTGTTGTTCATAGTGGTGGTGTAGCTGTTAGGTGCCGCCGTTGAAGACCAGGCCTTCTGAAACCCTATCAACGAAGAAGCCAAGGTCCAACCCGACTCCACGGGTTTGGATACTGGACCCAAACTCGCATCCGAGTCCACAGGTTTGAATTATTTTTGATCCAACTCACTCAGTCTTTGGTCCAACCCAGACCAGACCTGATCCAGCCCACTCAGTCTCCTGTCCAGCTCACGGTCCAGCCTAGACCGGTTCACGGTTCAGTCAACATTTACTCTGGTTCTGCAGTTCAGCAAGCCCAGGCTGTTCGGTTCAGCAATCCAGCAAGCCCAGGCTGTCTGGTTCAGCAGTCCAGCTTTGTTCTCCAGCCCGGTTCAGCCCTCTAACAGCTTTGTTTGGTCCGGTTCAGGCACCTAATCCACTGTTCTGTGCTCCTTGGTATCACGGTTTCTCTTTTTTCCTTTGGTTCTATTATTTCTTTTTTAATAGTACTATAGTTTGTTTGTGCTTTGTTCCAGATTCAGTGGAAACAAATGATTTGCTCTGGAGAGTCTGGAGTGACTCTTTGGAAAATACCACCGTAGTCAATGTTGGAGGCATCAGTTTGGATAATTTTGAAAGAATTTGCTGGGGGAATACCAAGACAAGGCAAAGTCTTGATATACTGCTTGTTTGACTAGAGATGTATGAACACAAGTCCAAGGAGAAGGATTTCCTTTGAGTCTGTCATACAGAGGTTTGATGGTTTTCCTAAAATCCTGATAGAAGTCAGAAACATAGTGTAGGGAACCTAAAAACCTTTGTAACTGGGTTTTGTCTGTTATCTCATCAGGAAACTTATCTGCAAATTGAATAGTTCTACTGATAAGAATAATAGTGGACTGTTGGATGTTATAGCCAAGGAATCGAACTGATGTTTGAAACAACTTAATTTTGCTAGAAGAGACAACTAGACCATTGTGCCTAACAATCTCTAAGAAAACATTAAGGTGTTTCTAGTGTTCTTCTATAAATCTAAAGAAGATGAGGATATCATCTATATAGACTATAGAAAAATGACTAATGCAGTTAAATATTTCATTCATTATGTTTTGAAATTTACTAGGTGTATTTTTCAATCCAAAGAACATTACATTCCATTCATAATGTCCAAATGGGATCGTAAATACAGTTTTGTATCTATCTTCTGGATAGATCTGGATTTGCTAGTAACCACTTTTCCAATCAAATTTTGAAAAAATTACTGAATTACTAAGTCTTATAATTAAATCCTGTTTATTTGGAATTAGGTACCTGATCCATTCCAAAACAACATTTAAAGGTTTGTAGTTGATCACTTGATTACTAACCTTGGGACTTCTTTTTTTAATTCTTCATTTTTGATGACGTAGAAAGCAGAACATGACCAATGTGATTTACTCTTCCTAATGATACCATTTTTGAGTAATTCAGAAATCTCTTTTTTGCAGATTTCTATTACTTCATGGTTCCTTTGGATGGGTCTAGATTTAGTTGAAATATTTTGTTCACTAAATCTTTTAATGTAGGGAAGTTTTTCCATATGTTTCTTCTGATGTCAGAAAGTTGTAGGAAGATTAGAACATACTTCAACTTCCAATTTATCTTTAAATTCTTCAATCTTTTTAATTAAGATTGAATTTGCTAATTGTTCTTGGATTCTTTTGTGATTGATTTCTTCTTAGAGAAATTTCACTTGGTTAGTTTTTTGGTTAATTAGACTAAGAGTTTTAGATACAGAATAGTCTTTTAATTGTCTTAATTTCTTAGCTTGAGGTTTTGCTAAGAACTTAAAGATTACTGATTGACCAAATGGTTTCATAGTAACTCCATCTGTATTAGTTGTAAATGGGTACAATAGATATACAAATGGTAAACCAAGAATAACCATGTCAGTCATGTTTTGTACCAAAACAAAGGATGTTTTGAAACATACATTATTTTGGCAAATGTGTACTTTTGGTATCTTATACTTTACTTTCATTTTGCTACCATTTGTTGAACTAAGTTTTTTAGTGATTTTTTTATAGTACTTAATAGGGATAATTCCTTCTTGGATACAGCTGATATCTGCACCAGTATCTATAAGGGCAATAGTTTCTAATTCATAGTCATTATCAATTATGATTTTAATTAGGTAGTGCCATTTTTGAAAACTAATTTTATTAATCAAGTTTAACCTGTTGTTATCATTATTGGTTTGAGAACATCCATCATGAAATGGCGGCTTCGTTACACCCAAGGGTTCCACTAGAGAGGTGGAGGTTATGGGTATCCACTGGTTACATGTTCTAGTTGGACTATCTGAGCTATCTAAGTTATTAGCTTGAGATTGTTCTTCATCATGCTGTGCTTCAGAATCAAAGTAACCTGTTTTGCTAAAATTATTTTTTGCTTGTAAAAGACTCAAAGTTTCAACATAGACTTTGTCTTGTGCTTTTAAGTCTTTTATCTCTTGTTTGAGTTTGTTTACTTCACTTTGGAGATCTAGTAAGGTGATTTCTTTCTTTTTCTCCTTACTAGATCTTTCCATTGTTTTGTTGAAATTGATTAACTGTTTCTCACCAAAATATTGTTTTACATCTTTTTTGACAAACAAATCTTTTAGTTTTTTAATGTACTTAACTTTTAATTCTAGATCTTCTATTTTACTGATGAGTTCTATAAGGGCATGTTCTTCCTCATTTTGCTTTGTTATAACTCTAACTGTTTTACAACAATTATCTGTACATCTTAGCTTAATTTTAGGTTCACTAGAGCTACTGGATATTGATTGATTTTCTGAAGAACTTTCAAGAATACTTGAGTGTTCTGAGCCTTCTTCATTTTGGCTAATGTTACATAACTTAAAGATTTTAAGAATTTCTTCTGTTTGATCTTTAGTTAATTTTAGCTGTTTTACCTTTTTCTTAACTGGCCAATCTGGGCTGATATGGCCTTTTTTTTCCACAATTAAAACACTTAACATTTTGGTTATCTTTTTCCCTGATTTTTTCTTATAAGTTTTAGGCTTATAAGATTTTGTGGGTTTTTTGCTAGATTTTCCATAATACTCTGATTCTGGAAAATTCTTTTTACTGCGTTTATAGTGGCTTTTACTACGGCTATAAGGTTTATGAGATTTGAATTTTCTGCTAAATGGTGCTGCTAAAAGGAGACCATATTGTTCACAGAAATTACCCATTTCATACTTAGTTTTTTTCTTATCATCTTCTAATTGTATACTAATTTTCATGTCAATACACATCTTCATCCCTTCCTTTTGGATGGTACTGATAATTTCTCCATAGATTAGTGAATCATATTCTATGATTCTAGTTTCTTTACCAAGTGCTTCTCTAATCTTATAGACAAATAGATTAGGTAAACAATTGACAAATTTTTCTTCCCAGAAAGATTTGTCACAATCTGGTTTGAGCATTACTCTGGAGATGAATACATCTTTGTACCATCTGAAGTTACTAAGTGTTGGACACCTAAGATTACTAAGTTGATCATGGATCCTAGCCTCAACATTATTGTGTGTTCCTCCAAAATGTTTAATTATTGTGAAGATGAGAGTGTTAATCCCATCTGGTTTTGCTTTACCAATGACTTCATCAAATAGTGGCATTCCTTCATCATCTCTTTTGACAGAACATTTGGTGTTGTCTCTAGATTCTTGATTAAGGTAGTTGTCCTACCAATTTTTTAGCATTCCTGTGAAACCAGAAGTGATTAGGTTAACTATCTCTAGTTCAATTAAATCAAGATTGTTAATATAACTGTTGATAACCATTGACATATGATGAAGTTTATTTATTATTTCCTGTTCACTTAATCCATCTATGTTCTTTCATAGAGTTTATTGGATTGTACTGAGAACTGGTTACTAATATTTCTTTTTTCAAATTGAAGATCAGGAAGTGTTGGCCTAGGGTACCAATTTTTCAGATTATTATTTGGAAAAGTTAATTTGTTAATTTGCTGATTATCAAACTGTTTTTCCAATTTTCCTATTTCAGAATCTGGTGAACTATCTTCATTGTTAGTTTCTAAATTACTAGAGGTTTGTTCTTCATGTTGATTGATAACTATTACATGGGATGGTTCTGTTTTGGTTTCCATCTTATGTAGTAGTTTTTCAATTAAATGAAGATTTTTACTTTTTGTATCTTTTAATCCTAACTTACTCCTATCTTCCGGTAATTGAATTAGAGGTTTTTCTAATTTTTTACCTGAAGAGGGTTTGATTTCATCAATCTTAGTTTCAATTTTATCCAATTGTTTACCAATTGTTATGAGACATTTGATTGGTGAAATTGTTTTGTTCAACTATTTTTTTTTCAGATTCACTAGTGGGAATCTTAAAAGGTGAATACTGTGGTTAATCATTATAGTTTCAGTTGGTGGATGACTAGAAGATACTGTCTGAGCATCTTCAATTTTCCATTTGCTTTTAGTTACTACTTTTACTTCTTTGTGGAAGTTTTCTAAATAATCAAAAAATTTAATTTCATACCCTAGTTTAAGCATAAGTTTTGTCCATTGATTAACTATTTTATCTTGTTGTTTACTCTTATATTGTTTGTTATACTCTCTTCTTTTAGATTTTATTTGCTTCAGAGTTAAATTCTTTTTTTAGTCCGTTAAAATCTGGTAAGAAGATAGTATCATTCTCTTTGCTAATTGTTAAAAGCTGCTTACTAACTGGGGCATTACTTTCTAAGTCTGTTGCAGAAGGAGATGGTGTGAAATCTTCTTCATCTTCTTCTGCTTTAAACTTAGATTGAGGTGTATAGCATGGTATACTAATGTGAGGTGTGGAATTATCGATTCTTTTTAACTTAAATCTTTTTTCTAATTTATTTGCTAAATCTTATCTCTCTTAGACACACTAGAGTAAGATTCAGATTTTCTACCTTCATTAATTTGAATAGGTTTGTTAATTGATCTGCTTGATCTGTGGGATCTTCAGAATCAAAGGAGATTCTTATTGATCCATCAAAAAACTGCTGGATATTCTCTATGTTTCTGTGGTATTTTCACTATCTTTGTTATGATTTTCATTTCAACTATCCAAGATTCTGGAAGTTGAACATCTTTCCATAAAAGTCTTTTAGGGACTTGAATGTTTGTTTTACTAGTACTAGCTTGGATTAACAAAGTGCTATCTTTAGGACTTTTCTTTGATGCATTCCCATTCACGTTTGTGTTGATGCATTTTTAGTAAATCCTATAGATAAGTACTAGGGATTTGGTTTCTTTTACTAGTTTGGTAATTTCTCCTGATAGTTTTATACCAAGGGTTAAAGCCATTACAGTATTAGGGCACTCAAGACTTAAGGTAAAGTCTGGGAAGCAGTTGAAATATACTGCCCTGTTATGAAGACCAGCTTCTACTATTCCTAAAATACTAGGTTCATAGTTTATGAATCTAGCATCTCTTAGGAATAATAGAATTGCTGCATCTTTACCAGTAGGAATTAGTGGTTTAATTGCCACTTGAACTAAACCAAGGTGAATAAATTTAAAACCTTGTGACCTATGTTTGTTGATAGCTTTTTTACTAAGTAACTGGCAAGACTCTTCACCATTATTTAATGCATAAACTTATTCAATAGTTTTTACTTAGAGTTCTTCGTTAAAGGTTTTAGGAAGCCAACTAGTTTTATAGATTTCTTTATGAGAAACCTTTAGGATGTTCCATCCACTCCAATCTACATGTGACTCTTCATATTCATATTCTTCATTCACTATATTTGGTATAGTGTTAGATGAAGATCTAGATGAGCTAGCCATAGAATTAGATCTGAATAATCTACTCATAATTAAATTTAAACTTTTTCAATTTTGTAAATTATTTTTAAAATAACTCCATTGTACATACCCCCTAACATACAACCCTCAGATTTGTTGTCTTCTTCCCTCGACTGCCTCTCACTAGGACTTACAAATGGGTTCTAGACTCTCACTATTGGGTGACAAAGGTAGATTTAAGTTAAAAATGATTTACTAATTGAAGCAGCAGAAATTTAAAACAAGTAAGACGATTCAAATATAATTGCATGAGTAACTATCCAAGCCGTCAAATGGCTCTGATACCAAAATACTGCATTTCATTATATATATATTATTAATAATTATTTAAAAATTAAAATTGCGCTTATCTTACAATACACGATAAATGATACAATATATTATTTTTAAAATCGATACGCCTTCCGATACATGATTTGACAATGATCAACAGTATCACAAAGGTTCATATTTTTTATGGTATAAAAAAAGAAGACTACAAACACACCAATATTTGTTTCATGAAGGTTTTAGATTTTGAGACAACTAGAATCATTTTTGACGATAGAAATCTAATGCAGCAAACAGATGTGCCAGAATCAAAGACCATGACCAAGGTTCCTGAAAGTGTAGATAACTGTGGCAAGACTTCCTTTAAATAGAAGAAGCAATACAAAGTAAGAACAAAATTTGCATCTTGAAAAATATCGAAGTGTTCGAAAAGCCTACTTGATAAAATGACGCCTACACATTGCACATGATCAAGAAATCTAAAACATTAGATGTAATATAAACTAACATGTTATTCAATCCTGTGATTGAAAATACGATCATTGCTACAAAGAAAACAGTGGGTATGTTCTATTCAGTACAACTTTTTCACAATAAAGAAACAACAATTAAAATCTTTTTCCATTGCAGAACCCCTCGATCCAAAAAGTGATGAAAAAATGAAAGGAATAAGGGACATTAGGAGAGGATGAAAGCTAAGAAATACTAACCTTACCAAACAACACCTTCCATACTGTACTATGTACAAAAGATAAGATACCCAACAATCGGGTCTCCCTTCTGTTTCCCTGCAGTATCAGTATAATCAGCACTACAATAATACTAATGTCAGTGCCATTAAAAAGACATGCAAATATCAAGACAATATTAACATAGTTTGCTTAATGGCTCCAAAAAAAAAAAGACAAATTACAATCAAAGCCTAATAGTCTCTGCAAAGTGGATGTTGTGTTGCGCTACCACAACTCCTAGCCACAAATATATTGGTACGCAGGCAAAAAACATTTGATACTTGGCAAGTAATGTAGTTGGCATATGGTCCTAGAACTTCAAAGCCAATGTTGAAAAAATGCACGAATATACATTTTCAACATAAAATTGTTCCATCACCTTTTCAAGCCTTAAGAAGCAACCATATTGGCATATTGCCAACAAGTTTGTTGACAATGACAAGTTCAAAAGAGAAAACGTAAAGCCAGCACTTACTGAGTAAGCACAAATACTGTGTTCCCATCCCCTACATGATAAGTAGAAGTAATACAGCTTCAACTATAAATTGTCAGAGTGAAGTCTGAAGTCTAAAGCATTTTCGAATGACTAAAAGATCACTGAAAACACAACTTAAGAGAAAATAAAAATCACAAACTGCCGCTCAAAAATTCAAAGAATTTCAGAACTCCAACCTCAAGCTCCAAAGAGAACAAAATCGTGACTCACAGAATTTCTTTCTCGAGCTGAATTTTATCTCCAATGTGAAGTTCTCAAAACCCAAAAATGTCCAAATTAAACCAAGGTATGGTCCCCCCCACCCCCGTGAATAAAGAAAAGGAAAACAATCATACATGCCCACAACAATGAAAACAAATAAGCTAAAAGGTTAGTGGATTGACTAGTTTCTAACAGGTGATGGAAAAGACCAATCATCAGTGATAAACTTAGATGGTTACAAAATTAAATGTATTTGAACTTGAACATCAGTCATTGTACAGATCACAAGTACTAAACTGATTTACCAAGAACACTTTCGATATAGACTATGAGTAAAAGCTCATACCTTTTCCCTATGGCAAAGAAGTTCCAAAACACGTGCCCCAACAGCATATCCTGCATCCTCCAACCTGCCCCATTTGACACATAAGAGCATTATGTTAAAAATTACATATAAATCAATCACCTAATATCCTTAAGACATTATAACTACACTTAAGTTGGGTTTAAAACTCCTAGATCACTTTTTATGAAAAATCCACAACGTTTCCACTTTCTAATTCTTAGAATCAGACCTTGGATATAGCTATTTATCCAAAATACTATCCATCAAATAGATAAACCACAGTTAATGTCCATCTGAAAAGACTAGGTTTTTGACTTTGAATGATCCAATCCCACCAAGATATTAATCAGTTATGCAAAAAGCCTCCCTTAAATATTCCTATGAACTATTGAAATGAAAATGGCATCATTTTGGTCTCAGTTTGGGCATATATATTTTGAATAAAGCAGAAACTTGTTATACCAGGCACAGTGAAAATTGATTCATTTAGTGATCACCTTCGTTCTAATTCACCAATGTTGTCAACTTGGGTCTGATTGTATTGAACAAGCTCTGAAAATAAGAATGCAAATGCACTCAAACTGACCTGCAGCAAAACACCAAGCAATTTAGCAAAATTGCAACCCAATTACATCTAAGCTACATTCGGAAGCACCAAAAGTTTGGACCGTGGAAATGAAATTGGATTCCAAGTAGGACAAAAAAATTGACTCATGTTCTTCCATTCCATTCCAATGTCATGTTGCCAAACGCAGCATCAAAGCCCTCCATTTATTGTCCAAGTAGAAAAAGAATAAAACATTCTAATTATATTTCTCATTATCTGCTCATGAATAAAACTTGAACCTAAACCCAGTCGGTCCAAACAGCATCACAAGTCAGCTGAGTTCGATTAAGTTTTCATGAATCTACTAAGAACCCATTTCAACAAGTGAAACAAAAATTGGAAGAAGTCATTTTCTTTCCCTTTTTCTTCACAGATTTCTCAGCAACCAACCGCAGTATGAGGGTATGCAACATGAGTCCTAGAGCGAGATCTCAGAAATTAAATAACCTGTTGTATAATCTAGATATAACGACCTAAAATTGTAGCAATCTAGTTTTTGTGTGTGTGTTTGTGTGACTACCTCTTGCTTGCCCTTGCTAAGGGGTTTGTCGAGGACGTTAGTGTACTGCTTGATCTTCCCTACTCCGATCATCCTCTAGGTTTGTAGCGTAGCTTCAACCTCTGTGTGTTTGTGATCTGTGAAACAAATCAAGTCCCAAAAAACGGTGAAGTAAACAGTCTTTTGGTTGGGAAAATAAGAAAGGGTAAATTATACCACAACCCCTCATAATTTCAACAATACCCCCCACAACTTGCGAATTTACTAACGAAGAGGGTTACGGTATTGAAATAAATAAAAAATCGATACCTCATTAAAATTGATTTTTGAATAGATTTTGAGTTGATTAATTTATAAAAATAATAAAATAAAATATTTTAACTAAACAAAAAAAAATATCATACTAGAAAATTATTTTTTGATGCTATAATTAGACCCTATACATAGGATCCCGGTTGAGACTGATATCATGCTAATGGATACTACAGAGAAATGCGTGTGTTTACCAAAAAAAAGTCTATCAAAACATTTACTCAATAAATTTGGATGATTGAATTAGTGGTTCCAAAAAAATTAGTGGTTCCATCAAAATAAATATATATTACGGATGTAACAAGCATTTGGCTTCCACTCAAAAATCAAACTTCAATAGATTATCTATTCGGACTAGTTAAAATAGATAGTCTTCTTTTGCTTTATACATTTAGAGAGTCCAACTTTCTTTCTTTTCTATTTTTATTGAATGAAAAGATGATACATGTACATCTTTCATTACATACTATTAACTATACAACTATTTTTATACTAGAATAAAGAGGTTATTGAAGTTGTCTAAAATATTTTGCTCTCTATTTCAAAATTTTATCAAAGATATTCTCTATTTCCAAAAAAAATAAAAGGAATACTATTGGAGATGCTTTAACACCTCAATATGATCAGCTAGGCATAAGCCCTTAAGTTTCTGATAGTGGCACATGATAAAATTCCACTCCAATTTTTTTTTTGGGTATTGTGATCAAGAATGTCTAAGTCAGTTTACGCACACTTTATTAATCTTTTTCCCAATTCGATTAAAGACAGATCATTCACGTGAGTACTAAATAATTTATGAGGGATATGACTCCGTCATAGTTTGACCATAAAAGAATTGTCAAGTTTCGAACTCAAGACATCTAAATTTACAGCTCGTCTTTGTCTTCGCTGAGCTATCTCATATGGTTCAATTTCCACTCCAATCTCTAAGAAAAACTCTGATTCCCGAACAGCCACTTTCACTAAACATTGTTCCATCAAAGTTTATTTTCAACACTTACTTGTATCAGCTATAGATATAATTTGTTGTGCATCTATGTAGAACACCAGACTTGACAAATATTAGCTGAGATATGTATGTCCCAAGTCGACTATCTGAGCAGGGGAACAGGGATTTCACCAACATGTGCTCTATTTCTATTAAACCATATCGCCAATAAGGTGATAATCACAAAACAGAGCTGCTTAGGTTGCACTTGTTCAGAGATATCTAGCATCCATGACTTCCTTAAAAGAATTGGACTCATGGGGTAAATTAATTCTTGCAAATTATCAAACATATAACAAAAGGACCTTTAAAGAAAATATGACCAAGGGATTCAGCTGAAGCGTTTCAGAAGAAACAACCGGTGTCTGTATTAATCTTCCTCCGCCAAAAATTGCATTGAGTAGGCAGAATTAGGCATATTAATCGTGTCGAGTGAGGCGGGTTTGTGTCAAAAAATATTTCACTCATACTCGATACATTTATAAATTCGTGTCTAACGAATTGTGTCATATTAGATTCGAGTCATTTATGAATCATATATAATTCAGATGAAGTATGGATTCAAATGTTAAATTGAAACTTTGATTTTTTTTTCTATTTAATTTTTGTATCTTTTTGCCTATTCTCTTCTCTTTTTTTTTTTGGGATCTGATTCGTGCATGTTTTAATTTGGTGAATCTGAACCTTTTTTTATATTTTTTTTTATTTTGATTTTGTTCATGCATTTTTAATGTGTTGAATTTAAATTTTATATTGATGGAGGGGACTAGTTTTTTTTTTTTTTTTTTCAGTTAAACTCATTTAGGACAAATTTTATTAATAACAAAATTATAAAGAGAGAAGAGGACATAAACCTTTCCCTTTACATAATAAAAGAACTTTAAATGCAAAATAAAGTCTTAACAATGACTGCACACGTTGTATTTTACAATCAACGAAGAATCCAGAGGGTATGAGCTAGCTGACAGTCCATCAGAAAATTAGATAAACAGTATCGTGAACGGTACTGGGTAGCTGAACATTAATCTGCTGCTTTTTTCGAATAACCCAGCTGAAAGACAGAATAATAAGAATGCTAAAAGACAGAATGTTGGAATAGTAGTGGCTACAGGAATCCTCATTAAGTCGAACCATTCCCTAAAAAATTAATAATATCTAAATCCATAGGATTTCTTTGGCTTTGGCAACTTGAACGTTCTTGATCTCGTCATAATTACAGGTTTGACTTTATCAAGTGTCATAGTCAAAGCAGACAACTCCTCCTCTTTTATCTTCTTCTGCATCTCAACCTTATTGTATATTGACAGTAACCTTTTAGAAGATGACATAAAAGAATTGAAATCATTTTCTCGAACTACTGGTGCCTCCTCTCCATCAGAGTAAAAACCCCTAGATTGCTCATGAAGAGAGGACCTCTTAATATAGTCATCATTCGAATAAACTCCTCTTAGCTTCAAGGTCTTTTGAATCTCCTCCCCTGACATGCTTGGAATTATCTCTCCTTGACTATGAATATTTTTATGGACTGTTGCCATCATTTTCGGAGTAATGAACTTTGATTTCTCTCCGGCCTCCACTGTTAAGGATTCAAAATCTTGTTTATAGTGAGCATAATCCAACAAGGATGAGGACTCATTTATCCCATCGTCCAAGACATCTTCAGAAGAAATAGAAAATACATTCTCATCCTCCTCATCATTTAAATTAACCAACTTATATGCAGCAGATTCATAGCCATATGTAACTTGATTTTTCGTTAATTCTTGATCAGTGGGATTGATTTCATTTACAATCTGCTGTTCGTGGATTTCTGAGTGCTGGTTTGTGTTCATAAGGTTTTGTTCATGATCCTCTTTTTCCAGTATCAAATCTGACTTAGACAATGGTGGATTCTCTGAATCTTTGGCCTGCACAATTACCTTAGATAGAATATTTTTCCCGAATGATCCCCTTTTTCAAGGATTCTAATTGACTCTTCTTGCTCCACTTCCCGTATCTTGTGGACTATATTTGCTAATCTCTCAGAATTTGCTGCTATATCCTTTTCTGCATTATTGAATTGCCCAGGCATTAGATGTTGTTTCCAAATTCCCCTTGGTTGATGAGTTGCATATGCTAGCTTTAGTTGAGTTTTGAATGAAACGTGACCTAGAATTACCTTTTGAGTATTTTCCAAACTTTGAGTATGCTAAATATCCTTCCTCTTATTTTGCTCGTTACTTGCCTTACCCTTACCATCTCTTTCCAAGCCTAGATTCTTACCTTGCACAACTTCCTTGTGTGGTGCAACTTTCCTTTTTTTGCATTCTTCATCGACATGGCCCTGCTTGTTGCAGGTTTTGTAGAATTTCTTGCATCTCTCATAGATTATTCTTTGCCAACGAGCCCCTTCTTCTCCTATGTCAATCCAAATTCGGTTTGGGTTATTATGCAATAGATTGACCTCTACACATACCCTAGCTATTCTTGGCCTTGACAGTGAAAGTGTGGCCTGGTCATATGCCAAGACTCTTCCAATGGGCTTCACCAAAAGCTCTAAGTAAGGTTTCTTAAAGAAATTCTAAGGTAACCTAGGCAATGATATCCACAGAGGAACAATTGAAGGCTCTATACCCGGAACAAAGCCTGAAAACCATTTAAAGAATCTAAAGAGGTAGTCTTCTATCAGAGTTGCATCTTTGAGCCATGTCTTCACATAATCTTCTTGCAACTCAAACCTTAGTAGCACATGTCGTTGGTCAATTGAACCTACTTCAAAAGCACCTTTCAAACTCCATTTCGATCGTATCACTTCTTTGATGACACCAAGAGAGGGTCTACCATAAGAACACTTGCCAATTAATGCATATTGCAATGATTGACTTGATTGTTGTATTTCTTCCTTGGTGAAGTAGAAAGCCGGCTCTCCTTCATAGAAAACTATAGGTTTATCAATTTTCCCTGGCAGTGATTCATCAACAGGATGTTGTGTGGGATTCCTGAAAAGAGAAACAAAAGTTTGTGGTGTATTATGGGAAGTATCTGGTGGTTTTGGTGGGATTTGGTGTAGCTTGGGTGATGAACTCATGAATCTAGAGAGAAGGCTTAAAGTTCAACCATGTCTGCTTTAGGCATATGGATATAGAATTTTGGTGGGATTTGGTCTCTCCCAAATTGATTTGAGGTTCTGTGACCTTCTCACAACTAATCAACTTTTGACATGCACATAATCAAAGACACAATGATTCCTCTGAAACTTTACAAACAAGCCCCACTCTTGAGTGGAGAACATAATGAAAAGGCAGAACCAAAACAGTCAATCAACCACCCTCTTTATATTGTCTTTTGAACAACGAAAGTAGGCACTTGGAAATGAGGTTCTTGGAAACTCCGAAGTGGAAACGTGTGAAGGAGACTAGTACTTTGGCCGATAAAATAGAAAAACAGGAGAAAAAAGTCAAATCAAAAATCAAGCAAAAATTATTCAAAAGTGTGGAGTCATTTGACATTAAAAGAGAAGAAAAAGGGCCAAGTTCGCGTTGAGAAAGTTTTTAACTATAATTATAAGAAGCATGTTACATTGTCTCCTTTATTTCATATTAACAATAGTTGTACAAAATTTCCTGATAGGACTATGGACAAAAGTAAGCCATTGTTAAGTTTGAAAATAAAACCAAAGGTGGACTTGGATGAAAGTCCCTGAAAGGTTTTAGAGAAACGCAATGTGTGGTGGATCGTCACTCACAATTATACACGTGGAATCTAGACACAATGTAGATGTGGTAGATCGATTAATTCAAATTAAGGTCAAACA